CCCTGATGCTGGGAAAGACTGAAGGCGGGAGGAGAAGGGGACGACGGAGGATGAGATGGTTGGATGGCATCACTGACTCAGTGGACATGGGTTTGAGTAAACTCTGGGAGTTGGTGATAGACAGGGAGGCCTGGCGTGCTGCCGTCCATGGGTTTGCAAAGAGGCAGACATAACTGAGCGACTGAACTGAACTGAGTTGAACTGAGTCGTCACAGGTGATGTTCCCACCACCTGGGAGTGAGAAAGCGCAGAAGGTCCAAGGCAGGAGAAGCAGGATGGCATGGGGCTTTGTGGCCATTTAGGGTGCAGACCCCAGTTTCATCTTTGGTACCCAATAAGTCCTCTACGTATGAATGAGTTCTGTCCCGAGAACTGGATCGTAAGTTCAATTTATTCACAACTCCAACAAAGTTAGCCTAGGAACCCAACTAACACAAATGGCCATCTGGGACTGTACTGTAATAGGTTTATATGCTTTTCATACAAATAACATGTAAAGGACAATCACAAAGAATAAAGACGACATTTTAATCTAACAGTACAGTACTTTGAAAAGTACGGTAGTGCAGTATAACAGCTGAGACGTCTTAGCAGCACCAGCTACATCAGTGCTGCTTTTATGCATCCTGGACTTGAGATAAAGATACTGTACTCTGTACTCTATACAGTCCTGTGCGGGAAATTACACAAAAGCATTCACAACACACAACCACTCACAGTGGATGCACACCCATGTGGCAGTATGCAGCAGACCCATGAACTAACTGAAGTGACCGAACATGTGAATGCATATCTGCATCTTTAAAAGTTCAAACCCTGAAGGCTTGTATGTAGGGGACTTATTGTATTACTGTCAAGTAATGGACAGTTATACACATTGTGAACGTACCATAGTTCACAAATTATTCCTATTCAGGACAACAGTGGCTGATATGAATGTGGGATTCTCTGGGGATTTCAGAGGTTTTTTGTTTTGTTTTGTTTTGTTTTTTTCCCCCAGAAGGCTTGAGTTTCCCAGGTGGTCCTAGTGGTGAAGGACCTACCTGCCAATGCAGGAGATTTAAGAGATGCGGATTCGATCCCTGGGTCAGTAAGATCCCTGGAGGAGGGCATAACCCTGCTGATTTCAGAAGGTTTAAGCAATTAGGGTGTCTTCTCCAAGAAGGAGGACATCTTGGTGCTTTGAGTACAGAAGGGATGTGGATCCATTTCAGGAAGTGGATTCCCGGAGACTGGGCCTGGGTCTAGTGTTCCTTGGGGTAGAAGATTCCAGCACCTCTTCACATAGAAGGGCCAAGGAAGGGCTGGGTAGTGGCCACATGGCTGAGGACGGATGAGCAGTCAGCAGGTAACCAGGGCAACACCAAGGACTAAAGGCTGGTCCTCACCCCTCCTCCAAGTCCAGGGCCTGCAGGGGAGGGATGCAGGGGAGGGAACAAGGAGACACGGCAGAGTTTAAACCTCTCTGGATCGGAGCCAAATTTGATTTGATTTAGGGAAGCAAAGACATCTAGCATTCCTTATCCCATGAGGGTCATAGGGTAATTTACATTCATAACAACAGTTTCCTGGAACACATCAGAGTCTGGCTCATGTTTCCTTCTCATTCTGAAATTTGGGGTTATGCACTGTACCTTGAAAGGAGACCATACTTCAGACAAAACAGGCTTGGTTATGGGCAGAGACAGGCATTTGCAGGATGGCCCCGGTGGTTGTCATGTGACAAGAAAGGGGAATCACAGGACCTGAGGTCGTGTCTTGGGCGTGAATGAGAGCAAGAGAGCAAGAGGAAACTGGGGCAGTGTTCTTGCACACTTATGTGAAGGAGGGAGTGGAAATCTTCTCTGGTGGGCCCGCTGTAGGCCAGAGTCAGGTGTGTGTCACTTCCTGCTTTCTATAAAGATTCAGGCTTGGATCTACAGGACCCTATAACATTTCATCTAATCCAGCCAGAACCCAGTTAATGGAAGCTTTGTGGAGTGATGGTTCTGGAAAGAACTAAATATGGTCATGAAACGATTCACCTGTTTGGAAAGAGTCTGAACGTGAAAGTAATGAGGCTACAGGTCATGCCTGTGCGCTTTCCAGGTGGCACAGTGGTAAAGAATCTGCCCGCCAGTGCAGGACAGGCAAGAGAACCGGGTTTGAAACCTGGGTCAGGGAGGATTCCCTGGAGTAAGAAATGGTAACCCACTCCAGTATCCTTGCCTGGAAAATTCCATGGACAGAGGAGCTCCAGGGAGGCTTCCATAGCCTGGCAGGCTACAGTCCATGGGGTTGCAAAGAGCTGGACGTGACTGAACGCACACACACACACACACACACACACACACGTTTCTGCTTGAATTAGTGTGTGTGCTTACTGCTTACCTGTCTGGGTTCGAATCCTGGTTCTTCTGCTCACTAGCTCTGTGACCCTGGGCAAATAATTTAATCTCTATGCACTTTGATGTCCTCTTTTGTAAAATAGGGTTAAAATAGTATTCATTGGGTTCTCATGTATCTCTTTGGACCAAATTAGTAAATAAAGGGTATGTATGGAACACAGTTAAGTGCTTAATAAATTGTAATCATGATTATTATTAGTCTTTAACCTGATAAGAAGAGAGAAACATATTTTACTTGAGGAATGACAGAATTCAGAGAAAGAGTTTGGTAAAAGCTGTTTTAGAATGGAATATCGCCATTTGGGGTAACAGGGAGGGACCTAGAGATTATCATACTAGGTGAGGTAAGTCAGACAAAGACAAATATGATATTACCTATATGAGAAATCTAAAAAATGATATAATAAAATCTATATACAAAACAGACTCACAGACATAGGAAACAAATTTATGGTTACCAAAGACTGGAAAGGAACAGATTAAGAGTACGGGGTTAACAGATACAAATTACTATACATAAAATAGAGAAGCAACCGAGATCTACTATATAGCACAGGGAAATATACTCAATATCTTATAATAACTTTTAACGGAAAATATCCTGAAAACATACATAACTCAATCACTTTGCTCTACACCTGAAGCTAACACAATATCATAAATAAACTAGACTTCAAATTTTAAAAAGCTATTTTTATCTTTAAATTTGTAATCGATCTATTAACGAGAACAACTTCACTAAACACATCCTAGATTGTGATCATCAAGTAAGGACTGAAGATGTCATTTTATTTTAAGGAGATTTTGTTTCTCTTCTTTACTGATTCAGATATAATTTGAAGAGTAGAAATTGCTTGTTTTATCATAAATAAGTGATAATCTTTCTGGTCTAAATCCTTGACCTAAATAGGATAGCATATCCCAGACCCTTTTAGCTTCTTCAAGATTGCCGGCATGCATGCTCAGTCATGTCTGACTCTTCGCGACCCCATGGATTGAAGTCCACGAAGTTCCTCTGTCCATGAGATTCCCCAAGCAAGAATACTGGAGTGGGTCACCATTTCCTCCTCCAGAGGAACTTCCCCAGACAGGAATTGAACCCAAGTCTCCTGTGTCTCCTGCATCTCCAGGGTTAGATGGAGGTTAAGTGTATGGTACCCTCTCCTTCCTAACAGAAGTGGCCCCTGTTGCCTGGGGTCTAGAGGTCAACTGAAAACAGAAAAGAAACGTGTATGTGTTGGACTGTCCTTTACACCCTGATTTTTCATGTTGCTAGAAGGTTTGCCTGTTGTGAGATCTCATCAATGGGGCAGCTTATTAGGTGTAGCTGATGAGGCTTAAAGGAATCAGAAGAGGGTAGCTGGGTGCACACACTTTCCTGATGGGAACCTCTGCCTGCGGGTAAGCACATGGCAGCTGGCTTCTTGTGACCCTCTCGTCAGGGTCCCCTCCTGATGACCTGGTCAGGAGGAAGTGTGAAGTCAGGGCGCATCGGGCAGCCTCCAGCCTTCCTGGATCCAGAGCGGCAGGGCTGGGCCTGTCCGGTCTCCTGATCCTGGCCGGGGGGCCTCCCCTTCCACCCCCCTGGTCCCCGGGCCAGGGACTCGCCAGGCCAGGCCAGCGAGCCTGGCCACCCGGCCCCGTGCTCATGCTGACCCTCTGTGGCTCTCTTCTCTGCAGACAGTGACAGTGGGAGCCCTGGTGGCCCCCTTCCAAGACCCCTTGAGAACGGAGGGGCTTCATGGGACAACCCTCAGACTCAGCTGCTCCATGGGGTCGTGAAGAGCTGGACACGACTGAGTGACTCAACAACAGCCCTTCCCCGGGACAGGGTGCTTTCTTCCGAATTACAGCTTGAGGCTGAAACAGAGGCTGGAGCAGGATGCCTTCGGGGCACATCATCAGCAAACGACAGACTCAACCTCCCTGGCTAATGGGGTAACTCTGTGTGTGTGTGTGTGTGTGTGTGTGTGGTTTAGATCACAGCCAGAAAGCAGCGTCAGGGTGCTTAAGGCAGTCAGCCTTCACCTGGCCCTTCCAGCCGTTCTTTCCAGCTGGAAGAGCCTCAGCAGGCTCCCGTGTCTGTTCCGGAAGCAGCTGCCATCACACTTCTGTCCCCAGAAAAGAAGCCCGTGACGTCCTGCCCCGGGGGTGAGCAGCCTTCCTACCTGGGCCTCGTGCCAATGCCTGGAAAGCCAGGCGCGTTCCACTCTGTCTTTTTTTTCCTTCTGACTTTTGCTGCCTTACCAGTGGGGCCCTACTGTGCAAGGGTAGAGAATGACAATGCCCTTCTTCTTCGGTTTGTGGCAATTATCTTTTTTTTATTCCCCCCCCCCCCCNCAAACACCCTGGACTTCCTGCCCGGCCTCTCAAGCCAGGACAGGGTGGCAGTTTCTGGTGATATCTCTCAGGCATCTTTGGGATGAACACCAGCCCAGCCCTCCTCTGCTTTCCCGTCCTGCCTCAGGCAGAGCCTGGAAGTGGGCTGACCATGGTTACCAGCATCTCAGTAGGCAGAGTAACAGCCTGGAAACAGACATGGATATTGTCCATTTCACAAAGGCATCCAAAAGCTTTCTCCCTGGATTGCAAAACAAACCCCACTGACCAAACTCCCAAGTCACTGTTTTATTCAGCTGTCATTAAACCACCACATAAATACATAGAATAAATACAAAACTAGCAAGGATTACTTTTAAGCCTTTGGTATGGAGAGCTTTTCTCCTCTTCTTATTTCCCTCTTTCGCTGCGGTTCTAAGCCCCTTTCCTCAGGTTCACATGATGCCTTTGGACACCAGAGCAGTCCAGAAGTAAACCAGGTGCTGGGGGGTGGCGGGGTGGGCCTTGAATCCATCAGTGGGCAGGCTAGGTCCTTGCAGCCTCTTGGGGGGAGGGCATTCCAGACCCCGGGGGGTGTCTCCCCCCTTCCCCGGGGGGACTCACACATATTCCTTCAGCCTGATGATGCTGGTGCAGTATCACCTGGTGCAGTAAACTGGTGCACGTGGGTCTTGAATCCATCAGTGGGCAGGCTAGGTCCTCACAGCCTCTAGTGCGGTGGAGAGGGGGGGCGCTCCAGATGACGGTGGGTGGGGAAACAGGCCCCCCCCCAGGGCGGGATTCACACACAGTCCTTCAGCCTGATGCCTTTGGACAGGAAAGCAGTCCAGAAGTAAACCTGGTGCACGTGGGCCTTGAATCCATCGGTGGGCAGGCTCGGTCCTCGCAGCCTCTCGGGGGTTGCGGGGCGCGCTCCGGGCGACGGAGGGTGGGGTTCAGGGGGAGGACAGGCCACCCCCAACCCCCAGCTGGGGGGACTCACACATAGTCGTTCAGCCTATACCCGCTGTGCGAGGCCGAGATGGCCGAGGGGGCCCGATTGTCCTTGTAGGCGTCGGGGGGCCGGTAGGCAGGCGCGGGGGCCCCGGCCCGGTTCGCGACGGCCCGAGGCGGGGCCCGGGTGGGTGCCTCCTCCTGGCAGGCCAGGCAGAGCAGCGTGCCGCCGATGAGCGACAGGGCCGAGGCGATGAAGCCGAGGTAGAGGGCCTGCCCGATCTCGAACTTCATGCCGCTGGGCAGCAGCGGGTTGTAGAAGTTCTGCACCACGTCGTGGGTGGTCCAGGAGACGGCCACCAGGCAGAGCAGGCCGGACAGCAGGAAGAGCGCGCCGCCCAGCGCGGCGCACGCCGTCTTGGCCGGGGTGCCCTTGGCGCAGCGCGTGCACTGCATGCCCACCACGGCGCTGGCGCACGCGGCACCCGACAGCAGGCAGGACACCACCATGAGCGCGCGTGCCGCCTGCAGGTCGCGGGGCAGCGCCAGCAGCGAGCGGTAGATCTGGCACTGGTAGATGCCCGTGCTGTGCCACACGCACTCCATCCACAGCCCCTTCAGGTAGGACACGGCCGTCAGGATGTTGGTGCCCACGTGCGCCGTGCGGCGCCAGTGCGGCAGGACGGTGGTGATGAGCGTGCCCGCCAGGCCCAGGAAGCAGAGGAGGAAGCCCAGGAGCTGCACCGCGGTGTTGGCCATGGCCTCGCCGGCGGCTGCCCGCTCGCTCGGGCTCCGGCTGCAGTCCTAATGAAGCCGGGAGGCGGGGCGGGGAGACAGGAAACGGGTTAAAGATTATCTCCAGGCATGCCATTTCTGCCCCCGAAGGCCAGATTTCCATAGGCCGTTGGTACCACGATTAACATATTTAAAAAAACAAATAGCTTCTGAGACTTGATTGGGTGCAAGAAGAGCTGCTTCGTCTAAGCTTCCCTGGAAGGCCAGAGCGAGAAGGAGCGAGGGTCCTCTGGCTGGCCTGCGCTTTCCAAGGACCCCAGGGCCCCTACTTGTCTCAATGCTTACGAACTGCACGTGGGAAGTTCTGCCTTATGTCTACCCTCAGACTAGGCTGCTGCAGACTCACACTTTGTTCTGTTTGATCAGTGATCCACTAAGGTTGTTAGGGATACCCTGGGGGCTCAGAGGGTAAAGAAACTGCCCGCAGTGCAGGAGACGTGGGTTCGATCCCTGGGTCAGGAAGATCCCCTGGAGGAGGGCATGGCCACCCACTCCAGTGTTCCTGTTTGCAGCATCCCACGAACAGAGGAGCCTGGTGGGCTACAGTCCACGGGGTCACAAAGAGTCAGACATGACTGAGCGACACTCACGTACTTATTCGAGGTTGCTAAATCAACAAGTGGATGGATCATTGTTACCAAATGGACTCGTAAGCCTGTGCTGCCTATGACTTAGAAAATAGCTTAGACTGCCTGTTAGGATGAAACATTTTTTCTGAAAGTGGGAGGCTTCCCTGTGTGCTTGGGAAGGGAAGGGGTTAGCACTCTGGGCGGGTCAGATGCTGCCTTCCAGAATCCCAAGCATGACCTTAGAGATCATCCCCTGACGCCAGGGGACAGGAACAACCAAGGCATCAGCTTCTTAGCTGCTGCGGCCAAGACCATAAACCAATGACCTTCCGCTCCAGGCAGGGTGCCTCTCCTGACACCACTCTGAAGAGGGGTAGGCTTGTTACAGACAGAGGCTGCAACCTGGCTTTCAGATGCAGGGTGGGGGCGTGCAGAGCCATTTCATCTTCACTCGGAAATCAATTTTCATTAAATTAATTCCTTGTCTTGCCAAATGCTCAATCCCTTAGTTTCCTTCTGTTTTCACTTTAAGACCATTCCTAGAACTGCCTGTTAGAGGGTTTGCATCTGGGACACTTCTGCGTGTGTGCATGCATGCATGCTAAGTCGCTTCAGTCGTGTCTGACTCTTTGTAACCTCAGGGACTGTAGCCCACCAGGCTCCTCTGTCCATGGGATTCTCCAGGCAAGAAAACTGGAGTGGGTTGTTAAGCTCTTTTCCAGGGGACTGTCCCCACCCGGGGATTGAAATGGAGCCTCTATGTCTCCTGCATTGGCAGGTGGGTTTTTTTTTGTTTTTTTTTTACACCTNTCTGGGGACCTCGACGATAATCTTGCTGGATTTAAAAATCTATGCCTAGAGGTGGGAGGAACTGGGAGATGGGGCTGGACACATATATTCTATTTTTAGTATCTATAAAACAGAAAATAATGAGGACATACTGTATAACACAGGGAACTCTGCTTAATGCACTGTGCTGATCTAAATGGGAAGGAAATCCACAAAGAGAGGGGATATATGTATATGTAAAGCTGATTCATTTTGCTGTCCAGTAGAAACTAACATGACATTGTAAAGACACTATACTCCAGCAAAAATTAATTTTAAAAAAGCTATGCCTACATGTCTTAGCATTGTTGGAAGTAATCTTAGGTCTGTCCTGGAGGGGTGGGGGTGCAGGAACAAGGCTGGGGGTTTTGCTGATGTTAAAAATGACTATTTGCAATAAATGCTGGAGAGGGTGTGGAGAGAAGGAAGCCCTCCTACACAGTCGATGGGATGTAAATCAGTACAGCCACTATGAAGATGTTCCTTAAAGAATTACAAATAGAGCTACCGTAAGACCTTGCAATCCCACTCCTGGGCATATATCCAGAGAAAAACATGATCCCAAAGGATACATGCAATGTTGATTGCAGTACTTTTTACAATAGTCAAGACAGGAAAGTAGCCTAAATGTTCATGGACAGAGGAATGGATAGAAAAGATGTAGTGTATATAATGGAATATTAGTCAGCCGTTAAAAAGAATGAAATAATGCAGCTTGCAGCAACTTGGATGGACCTAGAGACTCATACTGAGAAAAGTCAGACAGAGGAGAAATATCGTATGAGAGCCCTTATATATAGAATCTAAAAAGGAATGATATAAATGAACTTTTTTCACAAAACAGAATCAGACTCACAGAATTAGAGAACAAACGCACGTTTCCAGAGGGAAGGATTGGGGGAAGGGATAGTTAGGGAGCTTTCTGATTGACATGTGCACATGTTGTACTGAAAATGGATAACCAACAAGGTCCTACACTGTAGCAGGGAGCTCTGCTCCGTGTTATATGGCAGCCGGGATGGGAGGGGAGTTTGGGGGAGCATGGATACATGTCTATGTACGGCTGAGTCCCTTCCTGTCTACCTGAAACTACCAGAACATTTGTCTGTTAATCAGCTACCCCCAAATACAAAAGAAAAAATTTTTTTAATAAAATGAAAATAAATGACTGCTTGCCCAGGACCCTCCTGTTCTTCACTCACGCCTCGAGCTGATCGACCACATGCATCTGGTTATGGGGCTGGCTTTCCTTCGGAATCCTTCTTCCCTCCATTCGGCAACTGCCCGCTCTGTGCAGGTGCTGGGCTTGCAGTGGTGGGATGGGGGTGGGGGAGACCCCCCCAGTTCTGCTGCCCAGGGAAGGGTGGGGGCCAGCTGACCCGGGGGTCACTGCCAGGGAGGCGGCGGGGCCCGAAGAGGGGGCCGCTCTGATACGGGGGGCCAGAGCCGATGAGCGGAACAGCAGCTGTTCTCTGCCCTGTTTTCCACTCGGGGGGCCTGGGTGAAGGAGCGAAAGTTCGTTTTCTGGCCTGGCTAGAATTTTCCCTGGTTTACTTCCTCCCTTTTGAATTCAGCAAGACTGAAGTGAGCGTGAGCGTTAGCAGTGGTGTTATGAGGATGTCCTCGGTAGCTGACTCTCTCCGCCCCTGTCCGAAGACATCTTTCTACAGTGGTTAAGGTGGCCAGGGTCGGGGGACTTTCAGTGCTGAAATTGGGACAGTCCCAGGCAAACCCAGATGATCAATTCCTCTAGGGAGTCTGGAGGCTGGGGACTTCTCCAAATGACCTCAGAGATCCTCCCAGTAACCCCCAGAGGCCACCTCCAGCCTGGTGGCTGCACTGTCTGTCCCTGATCCCAAACCTTCTGAGGCTCCTCTGGGCTGTTGCTTGTCAAGGTCAATCACTCAGTATCCAGAGCTTAAAGAATGTGGCATGAAAGCTAAGCCTGCTGACCCCACTGGTCGAGGGAGGGGGACCGGGAGTTTATTGGACTTCTAAATATTTATGGAGAGCAAGGACTGCTAACTTTAGAAACCATTAGGTTGCTATATTTAAACTCCTGGAGCAGGAGTTGCTAATTTAAGAAGTGAGTGTTAATGAGCCCCCAACTCCCAGACCCCAGCTCTCCACCCACTTCCCCGGAGTTACCAGCAGCTGCTACTGGTCTTAGCTCATAATTCAACTTCCCAGCCCAGCCACTTTTCACTGTGGGGCCCCTGGATGGAAAAACAACCTCAAGTGAATGAATCTCCTTGGAAACCACTCATCTTGGAGCTTCAGAAGGGAGCTTGCCCAAGCATGGCCTCCCAGGCATGCGGGTGTGTAGAGAGGTCAGCTGGCCTGCAGTCGGCTTCACCCAGAGACTACCCTTTTCCTGCAGATGTGTGCGTGCTCATAGAGAGATGTGCGTTCGGGACAAATACGGTTCTAAAGATCAGGTTCTGAACAGCCCTTGACCAGCTGGATGGGTGGGGCTGCATGTAACAAGAGGACACCTTCCAGGAAGAAACACTGGGCCCTGGGTTGGGGTTCACAGCCCTCGAAGCACCCTCCTGGCCGAGCAGTGTGTGGCTTTAGTGACACATGTGAGCAGGATTTAGGGCCAAGCTTCCTAGCAGCTGCTTCTTGAAGTGCTGCGTTGGCAGGATGTCTCATGGAAGACATAAATGCCAGGTGTTGTTCAGTCACTAAGTCGTGTCGGACTCTTTGCCACCCCATGGACTGCAGCCCACCAGGCTTCCCTGTCCTTCACCATCTCCCAGAGCTTGCTCAAACTCATGTCCATGGAGTCGGTGATGCCATCCAACCATCTCATCCTCTGTCATCCCATTCTCCTTCTCTCCATCTTTCCCAGCATCAGGGTCTTTTCCAATGAGTCAGCTCTTGGCATCAGGTGGCCAAAGGACTGGAGCTTCAGCTTCAGCATCAGTTTTTCCAGTGAATATTCAGGGTTGATCTCCTTTAGGATGGACTGGTTGGATCTCCTTGCAGTCCAACGGACTCTCAAGAGTCTTCTCCAACATCACAGTTCAAAAGCATCAATTCTTTGGTGCTCAGCCTTCTTTATGGTCCAACTCTCACATCAAACCTGACTACTGGGAAAACCATGGTTTTGACAGGTCTATTGGAGAAAACTGGGTAATGGTGGACCTCTCATTGCTGGCCATGCGCAAACATACTTTTGGAATCTCCCAGAAAAGTCTCTTGCGTGGCATTTCCCAAGTTTATTTGACTGGAGACATCCTCCCCCCAATTTTGCCAAAGGACAGCTTAAAGTCAGATCACTTCGGCAAGTGAACTTAGAGGGTGGAAGTCTGTTGAAAGTTTAACGGAGCAATGATGACAGAGGGTTGATTTTTTAAAAGGATAATTTTGATGTTGGGAGAGTTGAGTGAGCACAAATAGGAGGGCCAGCAAGACGTGCTGATGTGCCCCCGGAGAGTCTCAGGGAAACCCAGGGCTGTAAACTGATGTAAAAGTCTGCAAAGGGCAGCTGTGAAATGCAGCAGAATGACTGTGGCCTCTTACACTGGATCTGGTTTTATGAGCACCGCATCTGAAAGGCGAGGGTTTTTTTTTTTTTTTTTCATATAAACTTTTATGTTGTCTCCTTCCTCTTGTCTGTGAGCTACATTTTTTTTTTTTTTTAAAGGAAGGAATTAAAAAAAAAAACAAAAACAACAAGACAGGCGGCCAGAGCACATGGTGGGTTTCCTCCCCGCCCGCCTGGACCCCAGCTGTGTCAACTTTGGAGCTGGCCTCTGAATTAGGTCATCTCAACAGCCCTGGCCAATGGGGGAGCTTCACCGGGACGAGGGATGTGTGGGTTGTTTGCCCGGCCCCTGATTCTGCTTCTTTACTGCCCCAGCTCCTTCGGCCCCTTTTGTGAAGAGCTCTGCGGCAGACACATGTATCCTTTGTCCTTTCCCCCCCGCACTGCTGAACAGCATGTTAGTCCTGGAGCAGAGGCCATGCAGGTTATACCTGGGATGCCGGGGGCGAGGCAGGTATGTGCAAGGTTTTACACCCCAGAACCACTGGGGCCTTCCTGCCTCGGCGAAGAGC